GTTTTGTGGACTTCAAACACTACAATGCCCATTTGATTAATTACTCGCCAGGTGGTCGGCACAGCTGTATGGGGGCTCCCATTACTGGGAGCAAATTCATAAGTAAATAGATTTACCCAGAGTAACATGATTATCATTTTTCTTTGACCAGTCTTATCTTTAGGGGGTTGGGTGTCCGGGTCAGCCGCCATCTCTCTTTGCCGAGTAGTTCCCTGTGTTCTGGGTTCGTGGCCTTGACGTGTGAAGCGTGGACCCAAGTAGCGATGCCGTCTACCTTGAGCGCGGTAGGGGTTGTCAGCAGGACGGTGTAAGGTCCTTTCCAGCGGGGCTCAAGATTCCGTGTCTGGTGTCTTCTCACCCAGACAGTGTCGCCAGGCTGGAACGGGTGGGGGGCAATAGGGGTGTCAGAGGAGTCTTTGTAAGCTGCTGCTATAGGTTTCCAAATTTCTTCATGAGCTAACTGCAAGGCCTTTAAGTGGGCCTGCAAGGAAGGAGAACTTGCAAAGTTAGATACATCAGAGTCTAGAAAGGCTACTGCGGGGGGAGGGGTTCCATAAAGAATTTCAAAGGGGGTGAGCCCAAAGGGGCCCGGGGTATTCCTGGCCCGATATAGGGCCAGGGGTAAGAGGTCCACCCAATCCTTTGTGCCAGTTGCAAGTGAAAATTTAGTCAATGCCTCCTTTATTGTCCTATTCATTCTTTCTACCTGTCCTGAGCTCTGGGGTCTATAAGCACAATGCAACTTCCAATTAATCCCCAATAGTCTGGCCACCATCTGACTTACTTGGGAGACGAAGGCGGGCCCATTGTCAGATCCTATTACCTTAGGCATCCCATAGCGGGGAAAAATTTCTTCTAACAGTTTCTTCGTCACAGTTTTTGCAGTTTCAGTTTTAGTGGGGAAAGCTTCGGGCCAACCCGAGAAGGTATCTATGAAAACTAGTAAATATTTATACCCATATCTCCCAGGTTTGACTTCAGTAAAATCCACTTCCCAGTGTACACCCGGGCGGTGGCCCCTTTCCCTGGATCCCGTTCCCATTTTACCTTTGTGGGAATTGACCAAGGCGCAGGCTCGGCACCTGCTAGCTATTTCTTGTAGGATGGCGTCTCTTTGTGGGAGATAACATAGGGCCTCTTCTCTTTTTAGTAACGTCTTTAGTTTTGATGGGCTCAGATGAGTCCACTTGTGAAGTTGATCGAGGAGTTCTCGTACCTCTCTCATGGGAGGAACCAATTTCCCCTGGTATTCCCAGCATCGATTCTCCTCGTCATAGGTGGCTCCCATCTCCCGGTAGAGCTTTCGATCTTCTTCTGAATAATTATTTTCTCTAGCCTTTCTGTCCGGGCTCGAATGGGCTACCAGTAAAAGTGTCTGTTCCTTAGTGGCGGCCTCTCTTGCCGCTTGGTCAGCCAGGCGGTTTCCTCTTGCCCCAGGATCTTCTCCTTTTTGGTGGCCCGGACAGTGCATGATGCTGAGTCTTTTGGGGAGAAATATAGCTTCTAACAGAGTTATAATTTCATTTTTGTTTTTGATTTCTTTTCCTGCAGAGGTGAGGAGCCCCCTTCTCCTGTATATCTCTCCATGTATGTGGGCGGTGGCGAAGGCATACCGACTGTCAGTGTAAACATTAAGTCTTTTTCCTTCTGCCAACTTTAGAGCTTGGGCAAGGGCAACTAGCTCTGCTCTTTGAGCCGAGGTTCCTTCTGGCAGAGCCCGGGCCCATATTACCTCAGAGTCCGTGGTCACTGCAGCTCCAGCAAGGCGGCGCCCATCAGAGAGGAAACTGCTACCGTCTGTAAACCACGTGTGGTCGGTTTCTTTCAGGGGTTGATCACTTAGGTCTGGTCGGGCGCTCAGTACCTCTGCCAAGATCTGTTGACAGTCATGTCCGTCGCTCTCCCCGGGCAGAGGCAGGAGGGTGGCCGGATTTAGGCTGACTGGGGACCCGAACTGGACACGGTCCACGTCCAGTAGCAGGGATTGATAGTGGGTCAGCCAGGCGTTAGAGAGCCATCGGTCGGGTGGTTGGCGAACGAGCGACTCGACCGCATGAGGTGCTCGGACCACCAGGGGCTGTCCCAAAGTTAACTTGTTGGCGTCCTTGACCAGGATTGCTAGGGCGGCTGCCACTCGAAGACAGGGTGGCCACCCGGCCGCCTCTGGGTCTAGCTTTTTAGAAAGGTATGCTATTGGATGCCTCCAGGGCCCTAGTTTCTGTGTAAGGACCCCTTTAGCATATCCTTGTTTTTCATCAAGGAAGAGTTCAAATGGTTTAGTCAAATCTGGCAATCCTAGGGCCGGAGACTCGAGGAGGGCTAGCTTGATACTTTCAAACGCCAACTGCTGCTGCTCTCCCCATATGAAATTGCTGTCTGATTTGGTCAGGGGATATAGCGGGGCTGCTTTCTCAGCGAAATTGGGAATCCATAACCTGAAGAATCCAGCTGTTCCCAGAAATTCTCTTACTTGCCTACGGTCCCGAGGGACTGGGATACTGGAGATGGCCTCCTTACGGGCCTGGGTTAGCCATCGTTGCCCCTCTCTGAGCCTATACCCCAGATAAGTCACTTCCTGTTGGCAGACCTGGGCTTTCTTTGCTGAGGCTCTGTACCCGAGTTTTCCCAATTCCTGGAGGAGGTGCTCCGT